TTTGTTCCGAATGAGCTATTCGCAGATATCGTAAAGCATACTAATGAATACGCATTTAAAGAGAGATCTTAAGAATTCGATCAAAATTAACGAGAATGGATAGATGTAACAGCTACAGATATTGGAGGTTACATTAGTGCTCTACTTCTTATTAGTGTACAGCTAGGCAGCAGAGATCTCGCCTACTATTAGCACTAGAAGAAGAATTATCCTTATTAGCTAGTTGCTAAGTACGTATCTATACACAGATTCTAGCAGATTTCGAGATATCTTAAGCTTAATCGATTAGGACCTCTCCCTAATAATTAATGGTACAAAAAGGTTGAGCCTCTTGCTACTTGGTTTCGAAATGCTACAACTCTGCAGGTATACGAATTACCACAGAATCTTTTTATTAATGAGTAATTAGTCAAATTTAAAGGACGTTTAAAGCACACGATTTAGATGAATTTAAAGGCTGCTGGCTAGGGATACAAGATCTATAGCCTTTGTTGCTTTAACAGCTATATAATTGATTTCAGATTTAGTAATGCTACAGAGAAGGTAGCTGAATTAGATCAGTATCCTGATTTCTCTTAGAGTAAGGCAATTGTATTGGATTTCGCAGAGATCCTTTTAGCTTGATTTCCACGCCCTAGGCTATTTTATGTTCTATATCTAGATAACTTCTTTATAACTTGCAAGCTCTATTAATAGCTATATGAGCTTGGGATTAGTGCTAATAAAATAGCAAAAGCAGGGTCAGAGATACCGAAAGAGCTAGCCTATCTCTAAGATGTAATGATGAAGCAAAATGACTATGGAGAGTAGTTTAATTGTGTGATTAGCAGCGTTAATTATATCGCATTTTGTGATATGGCTTCTAAGGCATTTATGACCACTGTTCATGATCCTACTATAGAGGAATATACCTATTTCGAGAAAACCAAGCGTCCTAGGGCCTCTTTAAAGTTCGCTGTGGATACAGAAACTGCAAATCTTGCAAACTCTACTAATACGGCGAAATTTACGCCTTCTGCGCCTTCTGCGCCTTCTGCGCCTTCTGCGCCTTCTGCGCCTTCTGCGCCTTCTGCGCCTTCTGCGCCTTCTGCGCCTTCTGCGCCTTCTGCGCCTTCTGCGCCTTCTGCGCCTTCTGCGCCTTCTGCGCCTTCTGCGCCTTCTGCGCCTTCTGCGCCTTCTGCGCCTTCTGCGCCTTCTGCGCCTTCTGCGCCTTCTGCGCCTTCTGCGCCTTCTGCGCCTTCTGCGCCTTCTGCGCCTTCTGCGCCTTCTGCGCCTTCTGCGCCTTCTGCGCCTTCTGCGCCTTCTGCGCCTTCTGCGCCTTCTGCGCCTTCTGCGCCTTCTGCGCCTTCTGCGCCTTCTGCGCCTTCTGCGCCTTCTGCGCCTTCTGCGCCTTCTGCGC